CCCCCCCGACTGCACCAAATCAAGGCCTCACATCAATAAACTCTGACCATAAACTCTGAATATGATTGTACTGTAAATTATTGCTTTTAGAGGGAAGAAAGGGGTAATTTTGTCTGGTTCAATGACACTTTGAAACGCCAGTCACAAACTCATATTTGAAAGTTTCTGTATGTTCATTGAGACAGAAAAACACACGAGAATCCGCCTCAACAAAGCTGCACACACAACAATGCTATACTTTTTCTGCCTGCCTTTTCAAAAATGATATTTGTTTCTCATAACAAAAGTGCATGAAAAGAACAAACCATGAATAAATAAAAACCAGGTTTAAATGACTTATATAAACCAGATAAAATGGGCTCCACATTTTCATTTTACTCGGTGTGTGTTAGAAACTATTCCCATGTCTGATTATTATCCCTCCTTTGAAATCTTTATGCACTGGATCCGTTTCTGAAAAGAATATTTCATCTTCTCTGGAGCATAAAAATAACTTGGGACTGTATATAAATGTTAAAAATTAGGTAGAAACTGGATTAAGTAACCCATATTAAAATCAGGTTCAATATTTCACCATGAGGTACACTAAAAGATAAGCTTTTACATGAAATAATCATTTTTATAATAACATTGGTACTGTAGATTATCATTACAAGAGATACATTTCATTGCATTTGTCTCACAGCAAGAATATTACAGTTTGTACCAAATAATTAAACTCAACTTTTTTCACACAGCCAGGACTGAGATGTGTTTTAATGTGTTAAAATGACAAATTGTCAGAAAGAAACACGCTTTGACTCCTTCACCTCAATTAAAAACACCTTGAATACCAATATTCACAACAATATTATTATTTTTTAAGGGGGGGTTGTGAATGCATTACATTCAGACACAGAAAAATATGTCAAGGAAAGATTACTGGGAACATCTACAGACTCAAAAACCAGCATACCAAACAGTCGCCATACATAAAAATAATTTGACGCCAAGGTAGTAAATTTTATCTTCCTAAATAACCGATACCATGGATTAGAATTGCGCCGATTTATCTGCGCTGATTTACCTAATTTTGGGAGATGGGCCAATTCTCAGATAATATCAGTGGAAAAGATCAAATAGGTCTGAAAATCAGCCACTGTCTATTCTGCTCTGCTCTACCTAATGTCCAGTTAAAATAAGTTTGTATTGTTTCAAGGGTAATGTTCAATGTATTTCAATAAAATAACATTGGAACATGAAGTTGTATTGTGAAGATTTATTGTGACCTTATACCATCTGACAGTGTCAGTTATTTAAAAAATCAGAATTGGCCAAATCAGAATTGGCAGTTCAGACTTTTTTAAAGATCGGTGATTGGAGATTGGCCAACAAACTCTAATCGGTGCACCCTTACCATGGATGTTAGTTGGTGATCATAGCTACTCATTTAAGTGTTTTTTACCTGTGGAACACTGCAGTCCTTTCCATGTTTGGGTAAGTGATTAACTAGATAACTTTAAATTGATATTCAGGCTGCTTCACATTTAGCTGTTAACATAAACAGAAGAAAAACTGGACTTACAGAGGAGAAGTTGTGAGCTCCACAGGGCTCTCCTTTGTATTTGCAGGAGAGAAGCATTTCATCCAGCTGGTGGCTCAGTCGGTCCATAAACTCCAGGTTGGTTCCTTCAAAGTTCCTGGGTGGCAGAAATAGCCTGAAGTCTGAGAGTTTTCTGAACCAGGCCAGGCGGTCCTCCTGCAGCAGGTCCAGGACCATGGGCCTGACTGTCCGGTTGGCCAGCAGAAGGCCGAGCCAGTGGCCGGCGAAGTACAGGTCGCTCTTTGTGAGCTTGTAGAGCCGAATAGGATTGTTGTTGCAGATGGTGACGGCGGGGAAAGCCAGTTCTTTGGCCCATTCGGTGTGGACTCGGGTGTATGTGGGGAAGGAGAGCCAGTGAAGAAGACGGTTGGAGGACCAGGATAAAAGCAACCCCAGCGAGGTGCAGAGGGCCAGCAACCAGAAGGCCCTGCGGCCAACTGAGCCACCGGGGACACAGACATGCCGCAGGCCGTGGAGACGTGTCCTTGACAGCAGAGTGGTTGTGACCTGAGCCAGAGTCGGCTTCGTGTGACGTCGCTTGCGACCCTTTCTAATCATGGCCGGGGATCCCCTCCGGAGACAGTGCCCCTCCAGGGCCATGGCTGCCCACAGCGCTCCTACAACCGCAGGAGAGGCTTCATTTCCCAGCCAGGCCTCAGGGGCTGGGGCCCACATGTAGCTCCAGGATAAATCCACTACTGTAATCTACACATGGATATGCATTTGGCCACTACTAGCCCATTCAGTCACAACCACATTGGTACCACACACTCTGTGAAAGGACCCTCACATGCGTGTTCTGAAGTCCTCTTCCGATGATGAACTCAGCAGCTGATGCTTGTTGGTCTCCTTTCAATGTTCTCCAAGTCTGAAAAGCTCTCGTATCGTCCAACTCAGCAGGGAAAAAGAGAAAAATCAGAGGCGAATATGCTCTAAGCGAGGGGTCTTCTACATGAATGAGTCCGGAGTCCACGGCAGTTAGTGAGACGGTGAACAAGAGATGATGAGACAGAGAGCAAATGAAAACAAGAAAAGGCAAAGAGAGGAGAGAAGGGAAAAGAGAGGGCAAATGCAAAGCTGAGGACGAAAACAGACAGAAGAGAAGAAAAATAAAAACAGAGATGAGTGGAGGGGCTGGTCAATGAGAGCTTGCCTCGTTCCAGATTTTTAGAGTCGCAGAGATGTTTTGATCCACGTCCAAACTTGGATGCACAAATGTCTCCAATCCTCATTTATTTTCTGTCCCACTGTGGACTCTCCTGCTTCTCAGATTTAAGCTCCTCTGGGGACAGCAGGATCATTTCGTCCACAGTCAAAGTTAGAAACAGACAGCACACTTTCACCTGGAGCAGCACGTCTCGTGCACATTCATGAACATGCACAGTGCTTTCCTGCAGGACACCACACCGAGGCTGATCTGTTCTGTGAAAAATCCGATCTCCGTGTTTCTCGCCACCTTTTATCCGTCCCCCGTCATTCACTCTTCCTCCTCTTCCTCCCTAGTTTTGCTCTCCGACTCAAAGACAGCATCTCTCATCTTGGTATTCCTCTCATGCCTCTGCTCCTCGTTCTAAAAATACTCCCTCCAAATCAAATCTATCAACTTGCCCTGGCGCTCCTCCTCTTCTCGTCTTGTGTCAGTTCAGTCCTGTAGTCTCAGCCGTCTGTTGGACTCCCCCTTCTTCTTCTTTGCCACTTTCTGTGCGCACTCTCATGCTTCTCTCGCAGTCAGAAGAGGCTTCTCTGTGCGTTTTCCTCGCTCTGTGTCCTTGTCTCGCAGCTTTCTCCCTGCTCTGAATGACTTCTCTCTCCTCTGTGATCGCTCTGTTTGTCCCGCCTCCCTCTCTCGCGCATTTTCCTCCTGTTTTCAGGCAGCTTTCCCCCCCGGTCGCAACTCTACCGCTCCTCCTGCGCCACAGCTCCGTCCACACAGCCGGTGAGCCCGTCACTGATGAGAGCGCCTGTCTCTCTCTGTGTGCTAACTCGCGCCGTCCTTCACCCCCCTCCGTTTGTCTGCTGCTGCCGAGCAGCCCCCAGAACCACCAGAAATGGCTGTCTGCATGCAGCATATTACGGTCACAGACTGCCGTGGATTTGTTTTTAATTGGTGAAAATTCGTTTGCATGCAAACAATTAAGGATAAAGTTACAAAAATACTGTTAAAGTTTAAGAAGCGGTCTTTTGCATTTTATTTTCTGACTAAACTGACCCCGACGTCACTCTCATTCTGCTTTTTTTTTTTCAGCTCCAGTTTGGCTGTGGTTGTTAAACAAAACTCAAATTTATATTTTTAGAACCTTTGATAAAGTGTTGGAACTGTTCTCAAGAAAAAAAAATCTAATTGTGAGAGTTCAAAAAGTTGGAAAGGAATACAATAACATCAGTGGCAGAATAAAAATCAGTGCAGACACAACCGCAGCGGTAATCAGGAGCTGAGGAATGAATAAAAATAGCAATAATCAGAGCAGCAGCTGACAGGGATGCTTTAGATCGAGCTACTTGAATAATTTAGTTCTGACAGGCAGAGGTAAATGTACAGAAAAATAAAACACAAATGAAAGAAGCCTGATGAAAAACTGGAGATTGTTTTGTCGGATAAACTAATAGATGCAGTATTATATTTATATATTTTTTTGAAATCGTGTTAGAAAATCTAATTTTACAAAGTGGTTCAGGTCTGACTGGTCAGATCGTCTGGAAGTTCCTGCTCAGATCTGTATATTTTCAGGATGCTCTTCTGCTCTGTGACGTATTTATAGTTTTAGTTTTGTCACCATTGTTCACTTTGAAACAGCAACATGCGGATCAATACTGAATTATTAATACCACCAATACAAGAACTTTATGTTCTAGAATCTATACTAAAATCAAACATCGATGATACTTCAGTCATTTCAGGTAATGTATCATAAACAGGAACACAGTGAAAAGTAAATTAACTATTGAAATCATGTCTAAATCATAAGTGCTTGGAGGGAACTACTTTTTCTTCCGCCTGGGCTAAGTCACTCGGATGTTACATATTCATTATTCTCATGTTATGTTCATGTATTGAAATTTAAGACTCAAGTTTAATTTTTTTAGTAGTTCTTGATAATCAAACTGTAGTTTTTCATGGTTTTATTATTTAACTTACTTTTTATTATTTAAAATAACATTTTCACATATTTTGTATGATTGTGCATCTGTTTTTTTTTTGTATCTGCTCTGCTGTATTATAAATGAGGACACTACATCAATATACTGAGTGTCAAAATAAATTACTCTGATGTCATCCACTTCAACTTCACGATTTATCAGGACACATTAGGTTGGTGTAAAAGGTGTATTTGCACAAAGTATCAGTGTCGGATCAGCATCASATATCAGCCTGAGTTTTGCTCGGTATCAGAATCGTAAAGGAAATCGGTGACAGCAAACATCACTTCTCTAAAACACCACCGGCTTTTTTCTTCTCTCTCTTTTGGTGACCTTTATTGGTYCATTACTGCCACCATCTGGTCAGGAATGTGGACAATCAACTAAAAAAAAGACGAAGTTACTCGGAGACTACAACTGAACTATTTAAAGAAGCGTCACCACACGTTTGGCCAATTTATTTCATGAAGCTCAGATGAGAATGGTATGTAATTCTTATGTATTGATGCGAGAAAAACCTTCCAGATTATTATTTATTGACTTAAAATGTGTCATTTGTAACATTTTTTAAAAAGATTTACTGGTGGGCAAATCTACAAAAGTCATAAAGAGCAATTTTGCTCAATTTAGAAGAATTATTGGTGGATATTTTCTAACTGATAAACTGAACTTTAGATACAGTTTTATATCTTTAACTTTGTGATTGATTGCAGTCATTTATTTTAAAAGGAAAATCAACAAGTCTCAAACTCATTAACATTCAGTCATGTATCTTTCACAGAGGAGACCGTTTTGTCCCTGATATATAAAAAAGAAATATGATGAAATTAATTTTGTGATTTCTTAATTAAACACCCTCTGGCTCTTTTGCTACTTTAGATAGAGATGAGGGGAAATAAAGAGAAAGTCAACATTTTGTCAAAGCCTGCAGTTTGTGACAGCTCTAAATTAATTTCGCATTTACAGTTTTACAGTTATGTTAAATTAGGCGGTATGTTTGCAAAATGAAAAAAATAGTTAAACGTCAAATGTTATGCAAGACTGGCTGCATGTGCAAGAATGTTTTGACATAAAAGTCTGGTTCAGTGTTCAGCAACATCAACACTGAAATGTGTTACAAGTGGAATAAAAACCTCTAATACTCTACTATACTAATACTTTCAGGCAATTTCAAAGGACATTAATTGTATAAATCCGAGCTAACACCAAGCTCGTACATATTACTAGCTCACAAAAGAAGAAAGGCAAGAACCAGAACTGAGAACAAAAATAAATAAATAAAAAAACTTTAATGTATAATTCATTTCAGACCAAATTACCAAACAGGAAGGAAGAATTGGGAAGTCAAATGCACGCACATGCACACTCTGAATTCTTCTAACAATAAATGTACAACAGTGGAATACACAAACACAAATACACACTCAAAGCCTTCAGCTAGATCCAGAGGCAGCCTTCCAGAACCAGAGGCTGAATAATTAGCTTAGAGCCATAAAGAGGGTTTCTGGGTCCAACTCTGCAGCCAGTGTAAAGAACACCTCAAAGCCTTAYCATATTCAATTTGCAATCCTAAAGCATGTGGGAAATCACAGATTAATTAGGGATATAGCCGAGCCAAGCGTCGGATACAATTACACAGCAGCCTCTAACTAAGCCGTGGCATTTATATTCATGTATGTTTTCATCTGCGGCGCTCTCCAAGATCAAAGGACGCWCTGCAGTGAACCGCTTCAAACAGGAAGTAAACGCCACAATAAAACGTTCACAAATTCATGTTGTTGTGTGGACGGTTTCAGGGAAACTTRGGTAAAAAGGCTCGATTGAACTACGATGGCCCAGCTAAGTTCGGCTTGGGTCAGCAGCTGGAGATGATTAACGAGGCTTACAGTGTGGTGCTCTTCTTGTTGGTGAACGTTCACGTATCCATCTYATTTAAAAAGAGAAAAGAATCAACCTTTAATTCTGTTTTTTATTTATATTTTGTGAACTGAATGCAGTTTTATCAAACACCTGCAGAAAACTTCAGACAAAACATTTAAAATTCTACCATTCCCCAGGATCGTATGATGAACTAGAAAAAAATTTTTCTGCAAAAATACAGCTGAAATGCCAAAGGCTGAATGGTATCGCTGAAATATGTTAAAGAGGCTAAAAATTGTCAAAATTAAAACAAGCAGAATGGAACTAAAACTTCAAAATGGCTAAACAGTAGCTGAAAGCAAAAACTCTCAAAACACAGCGAATAGCTAAAATCAGCAAAACAGTAGCTAAACTGATACTGAATTACAAAAACCAGCAAAACAATAGTTAAAAGCTAAAATTAACKAAATGGTAGCTAAAATGTAAATACTGCAGAATATACGGTAAATGATACAACCAACAAAATAATAGCTAAATTTTAAATTTCGAAGTAGCTGAAAGATTAGAAGTGGCTAAAATTGTAAAATCATTACAGAAGCAACAAGCTTAAATTTGCAAAACCATAATGAATAGCTAAAATTAGCAAAATAGTAGTTAAGTTAAATTTTGCTAAATTATAACCAAAATGTAAAAACAGCAAATAAGTTACTAAATGAAATAAAAACAGCCAAACTGTAGCTAAACACTAAAATTAGCAAAAATATAGTTAAAAGCTAAGATTAGCAAAATGGTAGAAACTAGTTTAAATCAGCAAAGCTTTAAAGTAGCTACAACCTAAAACAAGTAAAACAGCAGTTAAAAACTAAAATTAACTAAATGGTAGATACAAGCTAAAATTAGCAAAGCTTTAACTAAAAGTAAAAATTTGCTCAAAAGCAGAGTTGTAAAGTAACTAAGCACAAACACTTTGTTACTGTACTTAAGTAGAATTTTTGGTTATCTGTACTTTACTTGAGTAATTATTTTTCAGTCTACTTTTTACTTCTACTTCTTTCATTTTAAAAAGGCAATTAGTAGAAAGTCATTACTTGCATTTCATTTTTGCTTGTTTTCATTCCAGCTTGTTATTGTAAAAAACATAAATATTATCCATATAAACTGTGCCTCCTATAAAGTGAATTTAACTGTGGCTGAATGAGAAGTATAAATATATAAAACTCTGATAGCATATTAGTTTGTACACAAACAAATCATGTCACACTGCAGCAGGACATAATCATTAAAATAAAAGGACTGTACTTAAGAAGTATTTGTATTTCATGAATTTATATTATTACATTTGGCCGCAGCCTGTGGTTAGATTTTTATTTTGGAGAAATGCAGCCATGATGTTTGTAAAAATTGAAACAACTAGTACATACTAAATTTAACAAATTAATTATTTTAATACGATATAGTAATTTCTACTTTTTTTGGATGGAGGTCACCTGCTAATAAATATCATTACAGAAAAACTACCTGCTCATTTTAAATCAATACTTTTACTTTTAATATTTTAGTACAAAAAATATCAGATACTTTAAGCCTTTTACTCAAATAATATTCCTAAAGGAGACTAACTTATACCAAAGTAATTTTTTGGTAAGATACTTGTACTTTTACTCAAGTATCACTTTGTGGTACTTTATACAACACTGCTCAAAAGTAGCTACAACTTAACACCAGTAAAACAGTTATAAACTAAACTTAGCAAAATCATAGCTAAAARGTAAATATAGCGGAACAGATGCTAAATGATAAAACCAGTAAAACAACAGTTAAAGCTAAAATCAACAAAACTGCAGATACTAGCTATAATTAGCAAAGCCATAAAAAACAAAAAATCATCACAATATCTAAAACCACTCAACAGTAGCTGAAGCTCAAATTAGCTAAACAATGACTTTAAAGCTAAAATTACAACAAT